CAAAGCCTGGTTTTAGTTTAGAAAACATGCAAATAGAAACGGATGAACGGGTCCCCCCCTTTGGAATGGGGGTCGTTTGGCTTCTTTGTTAGCCTGCAATGGCCCATACCTGTCTATGTCTCTGAAAGGGGGGGTCGTTAGAGGGAATTGTTTGCCTGGCTGAACAGGTGAGGTCAAGGTAAAGGGAGTTAGGCTGTTTTTAAAATTAAAAGAAAATAAATCACTTTACATTCAAAACTAATAGGATAAGAAAAAAAAAACAGTTTTAAATGGAATTTATTAATATTTTATCTACAGTGAAAGATTTTTCTTTAAACGAGTTTCAGAGAGTTAGTCGTTCAGGTCTGTGATTAAAGAGGACGACCTGTTTCACCTTAATAAAACTAAATCAGACACGTCTGCTTAGAGACACCAGAAAACATAGATCTCATTTATAGATGAGAAATGATGTAGAAGGTTTCCTCAGGTGTTAGAAATGCAGCATCCAGATTTCCAGGTTGGAGCTCTGCAGGTCCGATGATGGCTGCTCTGCTCCAGCGTCCTGTCCTTCCTCCTCTCAGACCGTTTAAACTCCTCCATGATGCAGTTTGGTGCTTTTTAAGCGGCTCTCTAAGGAACGCTGCTGGTTTCAGAGCATCAGAAGGAACAAACCTCCTGCTGCAGCTTTAAGACGTTTCTGTTTGAACTTTGAAGCTGAATGAGCTCCATCTTTAAGTAAATTACTCCACAAAGCTGCTTGTTAACGACCTGATCCTCAGGTGTGTGACGCAGGATCCAGGTGCGTCGGCCCTCCAGGACTGATTCAGATGCTGCAGGTTAGCAAAGCTGGTTAATCAGCCAACGATTAAAAGACCAGAATGTTGGAAACGTCTAAAAACGCAGATCAGAGCTCCTGAAGGAGCGACGCTGGAAAACACAGCGATGATCAGCAGGATTCAATCACCTGAGCTGAACCCTGTAAGTCACTATATTTAGGTCCATCACAGATTTCACCATTAAGGTTTTTATCACGCTTTAATACAGGCGTTCTACAGTCACTACAGTTTAGACTTTTTAACCATCTTAACGATCCAGATATTTTAAATAGTAAAAAACAGGAAATAACTTAAAAAACTTCACCTCTAAAATCTAGAAGAGGAAAAACAATAAAAACTGTGTGCAGAATTATTAAATAAA